AGAAAGTGATCGAATTGGAGAACGATGTCTGAATCAAAGTTGTAGTCAGATGAGTTAGCTTTCCAACGCATTTTGAATCGGCTCAATCGGATATCGGAATACAAAGTTATGATAAAAATACTGAAAGAAGGTACAGATTCCTGTTTAAAACAAGGAATTCCGTTACATAGTCCGTTAAAATAATAAATTCTGTTAGTTTTTCCGTTAAAAGAAGGAAAAAAGCCTTTCAGCCCAAGAAAAACTGAGAGTTTTCGACCCAGGAATTTCCAAGAATTGCGAGTTTCAAAATGGACCAATGATTTTCCACCAAAATAGTTAAGCTGTTTAAACTGGAAGAAAACTATCCACACATCTACCGGCTATTTCCGCCATCACTGCCCTCCTCCACCCTATAAAATCCTCCCGCCACCGTACTATTTTCTTCATTCTTGTGCTGTGCAGTTTTTCTCTAAATATATAGAGAACTGCTGCAATCTACGGAATCAAAATAACAAACAAAATAAAGCCTTCAGCAATATAATTTTCAAAAAAATAATAATTATAATCTTTAACTCACCAGAAAGAATGTCACGCCAGGTGGTTGCTCTTGCTCTTCTCTTCGTCGCCATCGCAGGGGTTGTCGCCGCCCAGTCACCTAGCAGCGCTCCATCATCCTCCCCAGCTGCGGCTCCATCAAAGTCCGCCTCCACCCCCAAGGCATCTCCTATCTCAACCCCTGTGCCATCACCCAAGGCCTCCAGCCCCGCTGCCAGTCCCAGCACTGCAGGAACACCCGAGAGCTCTCCTGCTCCTGAGTCTCCGGCAGATTCCCCTACTGATGAGCCATCATCTCCACCTGCTCCGGCCAGTGAGGCCGGCTCACCCGTCCCAACTGCTGAAGGACCAGACGCCATCGCACCCGCTCCTGAGGCTGACCATGCCAATGGCGCCACCAGCTTGAAGGTCTCCGCCATCATCGGTGCTGCTGCTGTCGCCGGATTCTTCTTCTAAGCTGTTAAATTATTTCTTTGCTTTTTCGTTTGTTTGTTCAGAATTCCTTTATTATTTTGTATGCAATGTGATAGAAATAACGTAACCATCCTCGAGAGGAGTCTCATGTTAAAAGTGGTTTCTCATAATTCTTTGATTATCAGTACAATATACATTTCGGAGGCCACCTCAACGCAATCATTAAAAAGAATTTTTTGGAAAAAATAGTTTTGTAATAATGATTAGGGATGATACGTGATCAAAAAGTAGGAAAACGTTTTGATTTTACATGCAAAATATTTCACTGTGACAATATGTGGTTAAAATGAGTTTGAGAAAAAAAAATTGATCTCTATAAAATAATACACTTAAAAATTCAAAATAGTTCGAGCCTAATAATTGGCTCAATCCACAATTAGGCGAAAGGATTAACTTAAACTAGCTATTTTAAGAGGGTTGTCAGATCACGACAAATAAGTTAGAAATCTCGAAAACTTCGATGGCGACCCTTCGCCGAGTTTATACCCTCTTAGACAATCTGTTTTGGCGGAGGAAGATAAACTCTTTAGGGCTTCTTACTCTACCTTTTTACCTATGTTACCGAAATATAAGTATACAGGAAAAAAATTATAAAAAGACTTCTGACATCCTGTAAGGCTTTAGTTGGTCAATTAAGTTGAATAATTATGAAGTTTAACATCCAATCACTGGTGAATCAAGGAAGACGAGCAGAATTTATCGCTAGTCAACGCTTGTGCCCTACTTTAATTAAGAAAATAGTATTATAGTTAACACTGCAAAATTCTTCAAAGCAGCAGCATATACAGTGAACTTCCTTTTGTTTCTATAACAATATTATATCACTATAATTAAAATTAAGGTCTAAATGCTGAAAATTAGTTCCAAATGAAGCATCTATTTAACTAATAGCAAGAGCCTCTCCTGCAGCCAAGTGCACCCGCATTAGTGGTAATTGAAGCCACCAGGGAAGATGGTCTAGCGCCTAAACTCGATGCTCGGGAATAGGTGGATGATGAGGCACTGGCTCCCAAGTCCCTCCAAGTCTCCATTCACTTTTCGGAGCATCCTTGTGCTTTGTTACCTGCGCACGTTAAGGGTCAAATCCCAAGTTAAAACATTACCATCCATGGTTTAAGACAATAATATTGTTATGAATTGATCACAAAATAATGACAATAACGAAATAAACAAAACAAATAGAAACGTCAATATTTATGTGGAAACCCAAGATGGGGAAAAACTATAAGAAGAATAGGATAATTTCACTATAATCAATAATGAATGTGTTTACAATATCAAGAAGAAAATACAAAATTTGGAAAAATCAGGATAAACTCATCACGGTGGCTCCCCAACGAAGGCGCCGTGCGCCGAGCTTGCTACTTCTCTTTTTATAGCGCCCACTTTCGATAATTTTCTCTCCAAAGTATTTTTCTTCATCTAAAAATTCTTTTTCAAACCAAACTCCCAATTTTTGATAAAATTTGATTTCCATTAAATAGAACTCTTATAACCAAGCCTCCTTAGACTTCTTCTATTCCACAAAAGAGAAAGACCAAGCTTTTCCTTGATGCATTGATGCTCCTATGCATGTCTTGCACGATAAGTTTAAGGTCATGAATTGAAGATCAGAACACGAGAGATGGAGTAAAAAGAGTGAAAAAGATTTGTGAAATAGAGATTAAAGACAAAAGATTTTCATTCTGCTGGAAGGAAAATGATGAAGTTATGGAACGAGGAGTGGAAGATTATGGTGCGGTGAGTAGTGTTATAACTTATAAAGGATCGTTTAATTTAGCTTGTAAAGTTTGATCATTGAGAATCTTGTCCCTTCAATTTTAGCATTCTTGGATTATAATTTCCCAATGGTCAAATCCAAAAATGCCCTGTTTAACTAAAGCCGTGTGAATATTCAGTTGAAATACGATAACCCTTTGACATTTTGTCAAAATTTGCAAGAGAATCTAGCGTTAGAGATCTTGGAATTGTGCTTATAGGTTTTGCTCGCTAAAGCGAGCAATCCATCGTTTGAGTGAGCAGCCCATCGTAAGTTCAATTCTTGTGTGACTTTTACACAATTTGAGGAATATTTTCGGTATAATTTTGGTGTGAATAGGGCCGGAGAACCCTCAATTATATAAATATTCAAGGAGAATTGTTGGGAATTGAAAACAATTCATCCATTTGTCTACATGATCCTTGTTTAGAGAATTTATTTGAAAGCTGCAAAATTTAAAATATACGGAGAACAATAACATAAAGATTCATGTCGAAAACAGGAAAAAATCGGAGAAAAATTACGGACCGTCAAGGACAAAGATATTCCACTATATTATAAACTTATACAATCCTATAGAATTTCTTGTACACGATAGAGAAGAAAAATTACTAGCCTTCATGGACGGAGATACTCGACTATATGATAAATTCGTACAATCCTATAGAATCTCTTGCATACCCCAAACCTCCAAGTAATCTCAAGAAAAATTTCTTGTCTATATAAATATAATTTTGTTTAAGAGAGAGAACGCAGTCGCATTTTAATTGGACAATAAATTCCAACAATTACACCTAAACTTTGAATTGTTCAATAATCTCCAAATAGGCCTCCTCCAAATCGAATTTGCCTTTTCCACAGCCTTATCTCTTCCACACTCGTGATCGTGCTACTTTTCAAAAAGTTTGAAACATTTTCTTGTACAGTCACAATCGTCGGGATAGAGAATTAGCCTATTGTCTTTTAACCAACCTTAAAGTCAAGGAGGGCCATATTGTCCAACTTTTCCAAAATACAATTGGTAAAAGTACAATATTGTCTTTGTATTTATTTTTTAATAATTTATATGGTACTTTAAAAACCATCATGTGAACCGCATGTATAAAGCACGTTCATTTAATGGCAATATTTTTAAATTACTTAACTCATATCCAACTGTAAAATTGGTGTAATGGTCCCTAACTTATGATATTCTGTACAAATAGTCCCAAACCTTTTAATCTTGGAGCCAAATATTCCTAACCGTTCATTTACTTGCAAAATTGGTCTTTTGAATAATTATCGTCTAATTTATCGTAATAATGGAAAAAGTTTGAGAGGTTGGTTAGTACGATGTATTGTTTTTCATATATTTAATATTTTTTTATTCTTCACTTATTTTATTTATTTGACTATAAGTTTTTATCAAAAAGTTGACTTTTTATTGGTTAATTGAACGTAAGCCATTCAAAAAGGACTAATTTCACCCGCTTATTAAAACTTAGAAATGTTTGTACTAAGACGTGAAGGTGAGGACTATTTACGCAAATTCTCCTATCCAAATTGACACCAACACGATATCTCGATAACATTACAATCTGCAATTCTCAGCCAATCACCTTATCCCACGTCACTCAATTGAAGCAATACCTTATCTCATCATAGTCTTCTCTCCTCTGTCTGTGTTTCTCTCTCCTCCCAAAAAGGTCATGTCTTTCCCCCACAAAGGCTGCACTTTTTCATCACTTCTCTCGCGTTTTGTATGATTGTGCACAAGATAGTTTTGTGCATGATAATGATATAGAGAGAAAAATTCACAGATCAAAATTTTTTATTCTTCTGCAAGAAAATCACTGATTTTAATTCTCGATGAATTCAAGGAGGTTCAAATCTCGTAAATCAAGAACCAAGGCGAAAAAACCCAAGTTCTTGAGCCTACGTCTTCAACTTTCACCGGATGAAACTAAAACACCAGAAAAATCTATAGAGATTCCCACCTCCGCCGCCGCCACGGATGCTTGCCACCAGCTAGACTTATTCCCACCACACCCTGAAAATTTAGTGGAAGAGAAGTATACTTACACACATGATCAAGACAACGTTGCTTACTTCTTCTCCGCTGGGGACGGCGGAGCCACCACCACTCTTACCGGCCTCCTCGACGCCTCCACCATCACTACCTCTTCCTCCAAAAACAACAGCATCAGCATCACTAGTTTATCGCCGTCAGCTTCGCTAACGTACACCTATGGAGGACAGAACAGCAGCGAGCTTGCACGGACGGCGTTGAGGAACAGGGAGAGAGAGCCCAGTGAAGAAAAGTGGGTGTATTACTCGGAGGTTGTGGAGAGGAAGTTGAAAGAGGAGGAGGTTACTAGTGTCGCCGCCGATGTACTGTGCAAAGATCCGGCCGACAAGACACAATTGTTGTCTTTGAAGCTGGACTATGAGGATATTTTGAATGCTTGGTCCGATAAAGGTCCCCTTTACATACATGCAGAGGCTCCACAAACTGTACCTGACATTAACGATGAGTTTTTTGGCCATGAAACGTCCCGTGTAAGATCTTTAACTCTTCTTTTGTATTTCAATTATTGTTTAATTCTATGAAAACTAATGACTTTTTACAAATTTGTTTTTTAATTGGGGACTAAGTCTCATAAATTACAATTTATGAGAACCTAATAAGGGAGTGTTCCACTAACAAGAAATGATGAAAGTGAAGACAATTGGATGGAATGGGGATTTTATATACACCAAAAAAAAATATCCACGAAGGGAGAAATAATTCAATGAGGCAATTCTATATATAGGGGAAACAAACGGTTGAGCCACTTGTTGGCTCGGTCCATGACCATTTGGAATCACGAGTCATAGAGCGAACCGATCCCAAACTTTTTCCACTCTCTGAACTCGTCTTGAGTTGGAGATATGCCTTTTTGAATTATTTTATTAATTTCTTTAAAAAAAATAAGATCAACCGTATTTGTAGACACGAGTCGAACTCGGATGTGTAAGAAATTAATCCGTGCCACCCCTTGTACAATTAGTGAGTTAGTCAAAATCCGTGCTATTGATTCAAAACGGTAATTTTTAAAATGAATAGATGCGATGCATATTAAGCGTTAAGCTGTAAAGAAAGTT